ACACACACACACACACACACACACACACACACACACACACACACATTTTCATATCTTAGTGAGGACATTCCCTAGCCCCTTACCTGAACCCTAACCTTCAAAACTGAATACCTAACCCTAACCCTCAGCCTAAACCCAACCATAACCCAACTGTAACCCTGACACTAAAACCACATTTTGAGCCTCAAAAATGTCTTCAAACTCGTGAGGACCAGTGTTTTGTCCCCATAAGTATAATAGCATGCCAATTTTCTGTCCTCACAAAGATGTCTAAACATGTACACACACATGCAGCTATCATATCCACTGCCATTGCCCTGTGGTGGCGTCCTGCGCCCATTAGCCCACACATCCACTCACTTCCTGTATCGGACACCATGCAGATGTTGGCCTTTGGATTTACATTTGTAATAATAGAAAAGGACAGATTTCCATGAACCGCCAGCTACAAAGGTCTACTTTTATGGTCATGTTTGCTAATATTAGAGAGTTTAATAATTAGTATTATTCAATATTACAATACTCCCTCTGAATGAGTGAACTGACATGTTCAGCTCTCCTGGCTATGAAGTCTCTGAGTTTTCTCTGTGATTTTGCGTCCTGGCAGATATGATGCTCAGTCAGTTTGCCGTGAATGTGTATTACACGTGTATGTATTCACAGAGGGGGACTCTAACGTGGTGTGGGCCTGCCCTACTCTCACATTAGCCTCAGTTTCTGGTATCAGATTTAACAAGATGCTGGAAGCCTCCTTTGAGATGTTGGTCTATATTGAAAATTATGCGGATTTATCAGCTGAGCTCCTGATATCAGATATGGTTAGCAGTAACCAGTGTAACCAGTTTGACTGTACTGCTTCTTTGTGACATGCTGAAAGTGTCCATTAGTAGACGGCAATAAGAAATCCGTGTGGTCAGCAAAAATATCTTTAAAGGCTTTTAATTGGTACCATGATTGATTTGATATTAGTGCCCAAGATGTTCCAATAAAACATTCTCAGCACGGAGACCCCCACCATCAGCTGTGACTGTGGAGTCCAAGTTTTCATGCGGTTGTTGCCAAATCTGACTTCATCAGTGGAAACTGAGCTGCTTCACACCAGATTTAGTGACGTTTGCTCCCTGCACTCAGGAACAGGCTCGCAGTGATGGAGGACAAAGCACTGACCCTGTAACAGCAATGAAATTCACTCCCTTAAAGCAACGACGGGACGAGAAAGGAGCCGGGCGTGGTCATCGTGCTGTGCTTTCTGAGACGTTGGTCTGCTGAGCACAGCTGCACAGAGTGGTTTCTCTGATGTTAGCAGCAGCCAGTCTTACGGCTGCGTCTGATGTTGCTCGTAAAAAAAGGTGTTCCCAGATGTTTTTTAGAAAAAAAACATCAAACTGTGGTTTTAATTTTCAACAACAGAACAAAAATAATATTTACTCAGAGCCCAGCACAGGAAGACAACATATCATAGACACATTCCCACTAACACATCTTTAGCGTGGACGTGTCGTGAAGTCCAGTGGGAAGTGTTTTAATGTTACTGTGGGAGATCCACTGAAGTTTCTGCTGGCACAGAAAGTCAGAACGCTGATGTTTGTTTTGGATTGAAGTATTTGGAAGACCAAAGAGTAACGGCACCGAAATCAGTCCCAGATTTTAAGATTTTCTGCAGTTCTCAGAGGACTGATGAACAGTGTTTGTGCAGACCAACAGCAGTGTGGGAGACAGTGACACACACTCCCCACTCAGGACATAAAGGTGACGGCCTTAAGTTTGGAAAGACGACTGGGGGTGAAATGAGATCCCAGGAAACCCCGTCAGCTGTTCACATTTTAATTTCCTAATTTTGATCTTTATTGTTCTATAAACCGAACCATCCAATCTAAGCACTGCTGTCCTAGATTGGATGTTTTCATAGTAAGATAACTAAATAAATAAGAACGCAGGTGTTTCAGTGAGTGTACTCCATGACAGCTGACTCTTTATTGATTTATTGATTGATTCTTCTACGTGGAAACTTCCCCACCTGAGTGGATCTTTAAGTAGTTAAAAAATCATTATAATTCCATACGTGATTTATTAGCTTCCACACAGGACTTTCTAAACATAGTGTCTGGTTACGGTTATTTCTAATCATTATAATGCGCTCGTAATCTGGGAGGGAAACGATACGCGTGTAATCAAATAAAATGCTAATAAACTGGATTTGCTCTGTCAGTTATCTGAGGAGAATAATGGTGTGTACTGCAGCTTCTGACACAACCGTTCCCCTAACTTACTTATTGTGATCTGATATAGACGAATCCCCTGCAAAATGATGTTTTTTTATAGATCATGAGATTATGATGGCCTTCTGCACAGGTGTCATGGCTCGGTGTTGTCTCCTGTCTTACTCCTGAGAAAAACATTACGAGATGCACAGAACAGCCAGCAGTAAGCAGCGGCACATTATAAAATGTGCGGATGTTATATTTCAGGTTAGGTTATAATGTCTTTATGTCAGAATTAACCTTTGCACACAGAAATATAAAATAAGAACATATCTGCCATTAGTTTAAACTCCTGTTTAGCTGATTATACATCAGCTTGTCAGAGCAGCACTAGCCAGTCTTAGAAATGAAAGTTAAAGTATTTTAAGATGAATGATCCTATTGCAAAAATCAGATTTATATTTATCCATTTATATTAATTACCAATTAATTGACATTTTTTTGTCATTCATAATCATATTTATACCATGTGTCTTTTTGTATTTTTCTCCTGATTGAGTTATCTACCCTTCAGTAATTAGTTTCTGTGTCAGAGATAGATAACTGCTCTTCCTGTGTAATTGTGATTAATGACATGATTCCTTTTAACGTTCAGCGTGTGCCACTTGTAGTGCACGTAATGTGCTACAAACTTTACTCGACTCTTAAGTAAAACTTTCTCCTCGTTTTCGTCCTCTCAGATCTCAGGATGTGTTCCGTCAGGCGATGCGTTCCCCGGTTGTGCGCCTGGAAGTCGTGCCTTCTTTCAACAGAGAGCGCTATGAGAAGAGTCTGATTGGTCAGCTGTTTGGCAATAATAACGGTCCCACCGGCAGCCCCCGAACTGGAAACACCAAAGAGCCTCCGCCCCCTGTCAAAGCCAAACCTGTGTTTAAACCCTCGGAGAATTCAGCCGCGCGGCTGGCGGAAGAGACGGCCGGCCTCGAGCCGGGTTTTAGTGTAAGTTCCTCTGCTGCACATCCACAGACCGACACAGACTTTGCATCTGTCGTGCACGCTTTGTAAAAGGTTTGCAGTTTTAATGATTAATGTGTGCACAGGCAAGCACAATACACAATACAGCCCGGGCTTGAGCTTCGGTCTCCTCACCTTTCCTTCTAGAGCGAGTGCTAACTTCTCTCCAGCCTCCTCCTTAAAGACAGACCATATTTCCCATGGTCTGTTATTTCGAGTGCTACATATACAAGTTTTTATTTTTGGGTTGCTTTAAATTCTTTAGATGCTGTAATTGTAGAAACGGGTTCAAACTTCGTGTTATTTTGTCCTAAAACACAAACAGATGTAACTTTGTCGTCAGCATCACCATGGTGACATGGCTGACATTTAAAACAGCTGGCATAGCGGCAGCAGTTTCTTAGCAGCAGCTGATTATCTTTTCCTGTCATGCAGATGTGATGTTCTCCAGACTCGCACGCGTCCGTACGCAGACTTTATCGATACTGTTTTTTTCCAGCACGTTTAGATCTTTTTCTCACCTGTTTGATGGTTGTTAGAAAGTTTAACATTTTAAATTTAAAGCAGCTTCTATGAACTGCTTTTACGGCGACTCCCAGGTGACCAGTGTGTGTTAGACTTTGCTGTAACAGATATATTGTTTAATAAATGCCACACTCTTATTTGGGGTTTTGAAATGTGAAACAATGAATTTTACTGCTGCTTGTTTTTCAAATAGACCCCGAAGGGGAAAAGTGAGAGCCCCCTCCTGAAGAAAAGCCCCGCCCTCTCTAGCTTGATGGCCAATAAGAGAGGAGGACGAAGACTAAGGATCGATTTAAAGAAAGGTGCGACACACCTGTGTACAGAACGGAGCCTCACTCATCATTTTTCTGTGAATATGACTTTTTGTAGCTCTTTGTTCAGGAGTCGTGTGCGCTCTCAGTTTGAGCTTCAGGTAAAATTAGACGAGAGTCTCTTTTATTTTTAGTTTTTTTTCTGAAGCCCGTCTGTGACTCTGGATTTTTATTAATCAGCGTCTGTAATATTTCTTCATGTCTCTACAGATGTTCCTGCTGTCTCTCCATAAAAAGTTTCCTTTTTCACTGTTTTCTGGCTTAGAGTCCTTCCTCTCACCCTTCCTCTCTCCGTCTTCCCGAGGCGCTCTCTTCAGGGTCTATTAAGTCTTTATTGATCTGTTCATTTCTGCTGATATGAATTCATACTGGTCCAAACTGCTGACTTAGCGCTGCTAAAGAGACTAGACTTAATGAGGTCTATAAAGCGCTCAACCAGTCCCTGCGTCTGTGTGTGGCCTTTTTGTCCATGCATGCATGTGTATGAATGCTTTCGTGCACATGTTGTGCACATGTTTTTCACTGATTAGTGTTTTAATATTCATCACCCCCGTTTCCGGAACATTCACTCTTTGTTTCCACTTTGTTTCACTCATTCCTCTCTTACCTCTCTTGCCCTTTTCTCATCTCTCCCTCATTTTCCACAAACCTTAAACAATTTCACACCTGCAGGAACTCTAACTGCGGCTGTAGCTGAAGGGTTTAAAGCCACACACACACACGCATGCACACACACATGCACACACACATGCATGCACACATGCACGCACACACGCACGCATGCAATCTCTTAAGGCTTTGAATTATCACACTTATAGTATGTAGTCAGGAGCTGAGTCAACAACACTGTTTGAGTTTTCAAGAGTGGTTTAGGTCCTGTGTGTGTGTGTGTGTGTGTAAGAAGGCTGTAGTGTAAAATTTGTACTCTCAGTCTCGGGGAATAAAAATAGAGAAGCAAGGGCAGCTACACAGGATATTTGTGTCAGGATAGGCCAAGAGCTGTTACTTGTGGCTACTCGCTATAATTCACCTCTTCATTCATTTGTGTGTGTGTGTGTGTGTGTGTGTGTGTGTAGGTCCAGAAGGTCTTGGATTTACTGTAGTGACCAGAGATTCTTCGGTGCACGGTCCCGGTCCGATTCTAGTGAAAAACATTCTTCCCCGCGGGGCTGCGGTGAAAGATGGACGCCTTCAGTCTGGAGACCGCATACTCGAGGTGCAGCACAGTCTGAGCCAGAATAACAAAACACGATGGGGACGATGGTGGCGGTGTCTTGACTCTGTGTGTGCGTTTGTAGGTAAACGGTGTGGATATCACAGGTGTGGGCCAGGAGGAGCTGGTGTGCATGCTGCGCAGCACGCGGCAGGGCGAGAGCGTGTCTCTGGTGGTCCTCCGGCAGGAAGACATGTTCCTACCCAGAGAAATGGTAAGAGCCAGTCACAGTGAAAGACGTGTGCTCAGAGGGGCGCTGTCCGGCTTTTTATTAACGATTTTGTTTTCATAATGTTGTTTTTGGTCCGATCAACAGACTTGCCCGGATGATGCGTGACCTAAAAGACGATACACTTCCTGTTCAGTGATATTGCCTTTCCTTTATTTTTTTTTACTTAACTAAGCAGTCATGTGACCGAGTGTTTCAGATAACGTCATTATGACGACTCGGCTGAGGCCGTTGTGAAGCAGATATTATTCATCGGGTCTTTCCTTCCAGTCTTCCTCTGCTGCATTGTTTGTGCTGAATTTCATCACTGCTTTTAACAATAAAGACGTCTTTAAACCACTTTGATTCCATTTCTCCATCTTTTTCTGACTTTGCATGATTAGCTGTTTTGCATGCACGGCTCATAATCGCAACTGTTGCTCTTTTCGTCTTTGTTGTCTCCTGATGGTTTTTTAGGATATTTGCTTGACACAGTGACTCATTTTATAAATGTTTTGTTATTTTTGTTCCCTTCTGCTTTCATCCTAGTTGTGCTGCACACCTGTGGCTCTGTCGCAGATGGTGATAACTATCATTTTTAGCTGCAAAGACATCACATTTTTCATTTGGTTACATTTGCTTTTGTCTCCGGTCCGCCCGTCTCACAACGCCACTTCATTTTTCCTACGTCTTCTTCCTTTTCATGTTGCTTTTTATGCCTTTCTCCCTCTTGTGTCTCTTTCCACTCGCGTCGACTGATGTTTCCTCAACGGCTGCCGGGAAGTTCCACGTACAGACGTGAGCTTCTGACCCTGAGCCCCATAGGAAACTCTGTTTGTGCAGACAGGAAGCAGGGCGATGTGTTTGTGCGTGTACATGTGATCACTCGCCATGTACGCATGTCTGAACTCCATGACAGTCTGCCAAGGATACCTCTCTGAGATGTGTTCCTGAATGTCTGCACTTGTCATCCTGTTGTGTGTCCACTCAGAATCGCTCTACTGGGCGATGATAATATATTTGTAAAGAAAACAGTCGCGAACCAGTTTAAGGTGGAGTGCGTCATTGTTTTTATGTTCTCCTTTATGGTGTGTTGATGTAAAAAAACAACAACATGTTCAGCTGCACTTACTGAGGGTCTGCCTGTGCACACTGCACTTTAACACTGATCGAGTTATTTAGTCCAAAGCGTGCACTCATGCTCAGGTGGGATGACACGTGTGATTTCCATATACCCGAGTACACCGATCAGACATAACATCCTGACCGCCGACAGGTGAAGTGGTCAGGATAACCAGTCCTGAGGTCATACTGGCCATTTCAAATCAGGCTACGTCAACAGCAGTGTGAGGTGTTTGACTTGGCCTCCTCGTTCCCCAGATCTCAGTCCAGTCGAGCGGCTGTGGGATGTTCTGGACAAACCCCTGGATGGGTCAGAGCAGGTGGTCATAGTGATATGCTTCCCTGGACAGAAAATGGAGATGAATGCTGATAAACCTGTGAAATCGATTTGAAATCACACATCAGAACCAAAACGTCTGGCTGCTTGAATTGAAGATGGAAATAATACATTTTACCCTGATAGTCTTTCCTGTGAGTTAAGCTTCAAGTCTCACCTGCTCAGGAAACTAAACTCCCGTTGGTCCTGGTTGTTCCTTCACACACTCACTCAGCACAAACACCAAAGTGTTGTCCTTCTGCATCGATGCCCCACAGTGTCCCATAGGTCAAGTATTGTTCTCTGAATTCTGTTTTTGGAGAGAAGCATAAACCAGGCTCGATTCAAGGGCACCTCTTTATTTCATTGTGTTGTTAATGAAGGATCAGACCATTTATGACTGAACGGACTTCTTATGACCTGTTAAAGAAGTAAATAACCACAAAGCACATCTTTAAATGGACAAAGGAGCAAAAAAGATAAATGTTTACGAGCTATTGATTATATAAAATGAACTTCACTGTAACGTTTACACCTTCATCACTGTAGAGGGAAGTGAAGCCTCATATTTGTCACAATGTTTGATTTAGTCTGCCCAGCACGTCTTATAAAACACATCTTATTGGATCCCTGCTTTACTGTGAGAACTGGCAACTGTAGTTTCAGTAGTTGATGCTAAATTAAGGGAATAAGATGATATCAAATGATATCAAAGCAACAAAGGACAGATGTGGTGTTAAAACCAGCAGAAGAGAGTGTTGACAGCCCCATTAAACAGATCTGTGATTAATGTGTTTAACAGATATGTGAATAAACAGAAATGTGTGAGTTTGTTTGGACTGCTGACACAGAAACTGGGACACGCTTTCACTTTTGCTCAGTTTGGCCTGTGTGGGTGTCGTTTCGCCCTTTTGAATGTGCAGTATTTCATAGAGTTTCTCCTCTGCCTCCCTCTCCTTTCTCCCCTCAAATGTCTCTCTCTGTCTCCTTCACTTGTCCTGTCAGGCCGTCCGCCCCACTAGAATTCACCTCTGTCTAATTAACAGCTGGTGGTATTTATTCAGCAGTCACAACACTTTTCAAGAGCAGCAAATACAGTTACAGTTTTGCATAATGGAGCTGTGAACACACTCCTCGATTGAAATTTTAATGTGCTGAAGTGTAGAACAGCGTGTGGATATGCGGGCGAGGGATTTCAGGGCGGTGGTAGTCATCAAGCGCAGCTGTTTCAGCGGTGAGAGTTTTTAAAAGGGACTAGTGCTTTTAAAGTGCCCGTCTCTGTGTTTAATTAGTGCATTGTACAGTGTGACAGAGTGGATGGTTTACAGGCCGGGTCAGAAAGGTAGCGGCAGAATTACAGATCATTTAGAAATATCATCAGAAGGTCAAAGTTCATATTAAAGACGGGGTTAATGCTGATGGGGAAACACAGAGTTACAGTAGAGAAACAAAACCCCCAAAAAATTATTTCAGAAGTTAATAAAAATTTTTTTAAAAACAATTAATAAAATAAATAATAATTTAAAAAAATGTGTGCAACAATAAACAAAATAACTGCTCAAAGAATCAAAGTATCAAGAATCTATGAGCGTGGTGTTTTTGTTACAATCGTAATTATTTTTTTATCTGTTGCTCTGCTCTGGTAACACTTTCTAGTACTGTTTGCAACTAAGAGTGTAATTCTCCTGTAATTAAATGGACTTTAAAGGTTTATTATTTGAAATTACAATGTAATTATATTTGCCTACAAATGCTTAAAGGCAGGAGCACCAGAATAAGAAACAATGGAATAATTGTGTGAAAATTTATGGTAAAACCAAGCAGCATTTCCCATCTTACAGGGTAAGTGTGCGTTACATATGTTGATGTTGAAGTTCGCCCTTTCCAACAATAAAAAATAAATACCATGAAAGTTTGAAGTGTCTGTGTGACCTACCAGGGAGCAAAGTCAAGAAGCGTCTCCTTTCCTGGAACAAACCTCCACACAGTACAGAGTATGTACAAGTATGTGTAAGATGGCGAAATGATGTTTTTCCAAGAAATGATGCAGTACTGAGAATGACTTACGTGTACTTCCCGTAAAAGAACCAGAAATTAGGCACAACTTAAATGTACTTACAGGATAATTGTGAAATACGTGATGTTATGCAGTATGTGATATTACTTACATTTACTCCTGTACAAACCTGTCTTGTTCTAGTGTGCCTGCCTTCATGTATTTATAGGTAAATATAATTACATTGCAATTTCAAATTCCTTGAAATTCCACTTAATTAAAGGGGAATTACACCGTGTGTCGTGGGCCGGATAATAAAGTCTTACATCATGTATTTAATATTTCCCATCACTCGTTAGGAATCAAAGGATTTAATGTAAAGAAACAACGTTGCACCGTCATCATCAGAAGCACAAAAACACCCGGAGTCGTGTAAAACTCTTTCCACACAGTTCCAGCTATTTTCTAAAGCGTCCTGCATCGTTGTTAAAACTGATATGACTGAAGTTTCCGATTTCTTTTATTTATGTCAGTGTGTTTGTGTTTCTGGAGAGGAAACAGTCGAAGGATGATGATGAAATGATGGAAGGATCTTGTCTATCTTCTCCTCCCCCTCTTCCGTTGTCTCATTTTAGCCCACCATCTGGTGCTGTGTGCTAATGCGTGCGCTTGCTGTAGAACAAAGACATTACACCAGCTCTACACTCACACACACACACACACACACACACTCTCTCACACACACACTCACACACACACACACACACATTCTTACTCAAAGTCACTTTTCTGTGAAATAAAATCATCTTAATACACATTCCACAGTATAGCAAGTGTACATCCTGCTGTGTTGGCTCTCTGTACGGGCACACACACACACACACACGAACAACATAAAGCAATGTTTTTTCTTTAATTTTCTCTGCACATGAACAAGCATACGCCTGCTGAGTTGGCTAGTGTCTTGAAACTAATGTTTGAGACAAAGATGCTCTTTTCTGCTTCCAGACTTTTCACACCTCCCTCTCTCTCCCTCTCTCCCTCCCTCCCCTTCTTTTGTTCAGTTTATTTTTTCATGCATGTCACTGACGACTTCCTCGTTTACCCTTTGCCAGTTTGATAAAGGCCTCTAAAACATTTTGGGTCATAAAGTAAAATAGGTAAACGTCTTTCAGCTTTCCTTTTTCTTCATTGCAACAGTGATGAATCCTGCAGCAGAGAGCAGGGCAGCTGGAGCCATGCATGATCATGAAATCATAATATAATCCATATTTTGAGGCTTTGGGTTACGTGGCTTGAACCAATCTGTGTCTGATGATCAACAACTTGCCAATAAGGTTGCGTGGTTCGTCCAATTCACCTGCAAAGAGTTGTTATGAAAATGAGAGCTTGAAACTCCTCTGTGTGTCAGAGTGAAGCAGTTTAACTACACATTAAAAAGAAGTTTCACCAGCACGTCTCTGTTTCTCTACATGTTAGAGAAATGCTGCTGCAATACATGAAGGAACTGTGAGCACGACTCTGGCATTTTAGGTTTACACGAGTTTCTGAGACCTCTGTCTGTTCAACATG